CCACCTGAGCTCTTTGCCTCCTGTCAGATCAGCAGCAGCATTGATTCTCATAGGAGCACGAACCCTACTGTGAACCATGCATGTGAGGGATCCAGGTTGCAGACTTCTTATGAGAATCTAATGCTTGACCAACATTTAATAGGAGAGAGATCCAAGATGGCTGATCACTAGCAGCTCGGGATTGTAGCTCCCAGTTAAAGCGCAGAGAACGAGAGGATGCCACACTTTCAGGCGAATTTTTGTTGCTCACGGACCGGGAGATTCCCAGAGGAGGAGCCCCACGGGTCGCCAGCGTGACTCTTGTGGCTGGCGTGGCGGTTTTGCTGGTGCCTCGGCGCAGTGGTTCTTGGTGCAGACTCAGAAAAGCACCATCAATCTTAACGCTGCTGTTTTAGCCAGCGCAGTGGGTTGCTCTGATTCTGGCGCTGGGAATCAACAAGTTAGACGTCCACTCAGAAACCTAATTAGAAAGTTGGTAAGTACAAAGACAACAGATGGATAAATTTATAACAAAGGGAAGAAACCAGCCCAAAAAAGGCTAAGAATACCCAAAATCAGAGAGCCTCTCCCTCTACAGGGGATCACAGTTCCTCATCAGCAATGGAACAAGACCTGATGGAGAAGGAGTGTGTTCCATTAATAGAAGTAGGCTTCAAAAGGTGGTTGATAAGAAACGTCTGTGAGTTAAAAGAACTTGCTCTAACCCAATGCAAAGAAACTAAGAACTTTGAAAAAAGGTTTCTCTCTCCCTCTTCCTCTTCCTTCCTCTCCTTCATTTTATTTTTTTCTTTTTTTTTAAAAAAAAAAAAAAAGCTTTGACGAAATGCTAACCAGAATAGACAATTTAGAGAGGAATATAAGTGAATTAATGGAGCTGAAAAACACAACATGAGAACTTCACAAAGTATGCACAAGTTTTAACAGCTGAATTGATCAAGCAGAAGAAAGGATATCAGAGGTCGAAGACCAATTTTATGAAATAAAACGAGAAGACAAGATTAGAGAAGAAAGAATAAAAAGGAATGAGCAAAGTCTCCAAGAAATATGGAACTATGTGAAAAGACCTAATCTATGTTTGATAGGTGTACCTGAATGTGAGGAAGAGAATGAATCCAAGCTGGAAAATACTCCTCAGGATATTATTCAGGAAAACTTTCCCAACCTAGCAAGGCAGGACAATATTCAACTCCAGGTAATACAGAGAACACCACAAAGATATTCCTCAAGAAGACCAATCTCAAGACACATAATCGTTATATTCACCAGGGTTGAGAAAATACTAAGGGCAGCCAGAGAGAAAGGTCAGGTTACCCACAAAGGGAAGCCTATCAGACTCACAGCAGATCTCTAAGCAGAAACCCTACAAGCCAGAAGAGGGGGGCGGGCAATATTCAACATCCTTAAAGAAAAGAACTTTCAACTGAGAATGTAATGCTTGATCATCTGAGGTAGAGCTGAGATGGTAATGCTAGTGCTGGGGAGTGGCTGCAAATACAGATGGAGAGGTTTGACTGCACAGAGACCATAATAAATCAATTGCTTGTGGGCTTATATTAGAACCCGATCAGTGAGAGGCAAGTGACAATTAAGCTGCATCTGGTTGCAGGCTCTAGAGTGGCAAGTGAGTTGATGTACTTCAATTTTACAGCTGCATCTGGTGGCAGGCTTTAAGTCAGAATCCAACATTTATTTTAGTCTGCACATGGCCTGCCCATTATTTTATTTACCACTTCCCTCTGTGCCTCCTTCCCGCACTACACAATTGTCTCAGTCACAGTTTTGGTAAGCCCATAAAGCTAACGCCTAGCCAAAATGAGTAAAAAACAAACATCACTGGAGATCTTCTTTGAAAAGTGGGAAAGACCCATCTAAGACTGCCAACAAAAAGAAACCTTCATTTAAAAGAAAATACCAAGACTCCTATTTAAATTTTAGGTCCAATACAACAGGTGATTTACATTATTCAAGTCTGCTTTGTATAATATGTGGCAACCAGCCATCCAATGAAGACATGAAACCTTCAAAACTGCTTTGCTGCATAGAGAATCAGCAGCCTGTATTAAAAAACAAGTCTTTGAAGTTTAAAAAAAAAAAAAAAACATGAACACAAAGAACACAAGTAATTACTGAAGGTCACGACTTCATTAAATGTGTTGGCACTAAGAGCATCATTCTTAGCTACTAATCACATAGCCAAAGCTAAGAAGCCCTTTACTATCGGTGATGAGTTGATCCTGCCTGCTGCTAAGGACATCTGTCATGAACTTTTAGGAAACTGCAGTTCAAAAGGTGGCATGTGTTTCTCTTTCAGCTACCACCATGACTAGACAAACTGATGAAATAACAGAGGATATTGAGGCACAATTGTTAGAATTAATAAGTCATCACAGTACACAATCCAGGTTGACTAGTCTACCGACGTTGACAACAATGCAACAACACTTGTTTTTGTGGAATATATTTTTCAGGAGGATGTGCATGAGGGTATGTTATGTGCACTTTTGTTGTCAACTAACACCACAGCTGCAGAACTATTGAAGTATTTGAATGATTACGTATGAGGAAAATTGAATTGGTCACTTTACGTCAGTATATGTATGGACACAGTGGCTGCCATGACTGGACAGTTTCTGGTTTCACCACTCAGGTTCAAAGAGGTTGTTTCTAAATGTGAGTCTATGCACTGCATCATCCACAGAGAAATGATGGCTAGCTGAAAAATGTCACCTGAACTTAATGTTTTGCAGGATATGATTAAAATTATAAACCTAATTAAAATATATGCCCATAACTCACACCTGTTCACACAGCTCTGTCAGGAGATGAACACAGAGTAAACATGTCTTCTCTTAAACACAAAAGTAGATGGCTTTCTAAAGGTGGATCACTAGCCAGAGTTTTGTGTTACGAGAGGTCCTCCAGAGATTTCTTTTAGAAAACAGTCACCACTGACAGCACATTTCAGTGACACAGAATGGGTCACAAAGCTTGCTTCCTTGTGTGACTTATTCAACCTGCTCAACGAACTCAAACTGTCACTTCAGGAGAGAACAACTATGTTCAAGTCTGCAGATAAAGTGACTGCATTCAAAGACAAACTGGAATTACAGGGGTGATAAGTCAACACTGGGATTTCTGTCATGCTTCAAACATTAGCAGAAATTTTGAAAGAGACTGAGCCAGGGTCTTCTTTCTCCCAAATTGTGCATGATCACCTATCTCGGCTTTCAAAGAAGTTTGACCATTACTTCCCAACCACAAAGGACCCCCGAACTGGGAAGGAATGGATCTGCAACCCATTTGTGAATAACTCAGGTGAATTGATTTCTATTGTGCTAGAAGAGGATCAACCAGACAACACCCAATCTTCATACATTCTAGATTAAAGTCAAGACCAAATATCCTGAGATTTCCACAAAAGCATTAAAAGCCTGCTTCTATTTCTAACATCCTATCTTTGTGAAGCAGGGTTTTCTGTAGTGACAGCTACCAAAATGAGATTATGGAGCAGACTAGACATTAGCAACACACTTTGGGTGTCACTGTTTCCCATCACCCCCAGATAGAACCTTCTAGTTGCAGGAAAGCAAGTTCAGGGCTCCCACTGATTCTACATTATAGTGAGTTGTATAATTACTTCATTATATATTACAATATAATAATAGAAATAATGTACATAGTAAAGGTAATGCACTTGAGTCATCCTGAAACTATCCCTCCACCCTCCATCCGCGGAAAAGCTATCTTCCACAAAACCGGTCCTTGGTGCCAAAAGGTTGGGGACTGCTGGTATATACATAGTATCTGCATTTTTCATTCCAGATGCCACCCAAAACCAAATCATTTAAAAGAGCAATAATAGCATTTTTATTCAATTTATTTGTTTTGCTTCTATCAAATTATTACCATTTATTAGGATAAACATTTTTCTTCCCTTGAAAAAGATTTTTCATCTAGAATATTGCGGTGATGGAAAACTATTAACCAATCAGAGAAACAGTATTTTTCCAAACAAGGATGGATGATTATAATTCTATAGACACTTATGGCAAGATAGATATTTTATTGGTTTAATACTACTTGATTTATATACACAGAGAAAGATTTTTAATAATTTTAAGGTTACTTCAGAAAATCTTGTAAAGTTGATTTAATAGTATATTTTTAATAAAGTTCATTTAATAGTATATTTGTAATAGAAGTTTAGACCACATACTTTCCTTGTCAAAAGAGTAAATTTATTGAGTTCTAGAAATAATTGCTTTTAACCGCATCCTTAATTAAATTCTACCCAAGCCATGATTAATATTTCTCCCTACTTTTTAATGTGACCTTTATTTAACACAGTTCGCTGTGTCCCTAGGAATACAAGTATCCTATCTGAAGTGACCATATGCTCCTTTCAGGAAAATAATCTTTTTGTTTGAGACTGAGTCTCGCTCTTTGGCCGAGGCTGGAGTGCAGTGGTGATCTCGGCTCGCCACAACCTCTGCCTCCTGGGTTCCAGTGATTCTCCTGCCTCACCCTCCCAAGTAGCTGGGACTACAGATGCACACCACCATGCCTGGCACTGTGGCTCATGCCTGTAATCCCAGCACTTTTGGAGGCCCAGGTGGGCAGATCATGAGGTCAGAAGTACGAGACCAGCCTGGCTAACATAGTAAAATCCTGTCTCTACTAATAATACAGGAGAACAATCTTAATTTCAGCTAGTGAAATGCTTAGTACTAAGACAGTTTCAAATTTTCATATAGCCTCTTTTGTATAATTTTTTGTCAAATATTTCAGAGAATGTCTACCTCACAAAAGATGCACACTGGACGATGTTAACATTGAATTCATATGCAATCTGTGAATAAAATTTCCTCAAATGAAAATTTTCATCTACATTTATCATTAAACAAGTAACAAAAGAAACCAAAACCCTGCAGTTTAAACAAAATGCCTCTTTATTTGCCATGTTCTGCTTTTCATTTAATTGTTCTGATACTATACAGTACCTCACAGGTTTCCTTTCTCGAAGCAAGTCTTCCAGATTGCGTTCACAATGTTCAGCCACAACCACTAGTCGTTCTAAGTAAAATAAAGCAAACCCTTGTTATATTCTATCAATACACATATTAAGAACAAAATAATATACTCTACTGATGATACTAACATATAACACACACAATATTTTAAAAGTGCCTTTCAAACTCTGTATTAACTATATTATTACCAAGTATACAGGATAATAAACATTTAATAAAACAACTATTTTTCTATCTTGTATTTTTTTTTTCCCTCTAGACTTTTTCTTACATACATCAAGAAAAACAGGTGGAAAGACTGCCCTTGGGGAAAAAATAATTTATCCTTCTTCTGTCACAGATTGGAAGAAAGAAGTAAAAGATTAGATGAATATATAAAGAAATTTTGAAAGAAAGGGAAAGTAGGGAGACTAGGTACAGATTGCTTGACAGTCTGGTTTTAAACACAGATCTTTTAAATTACATTCTGAAACTTGAAGAAAGAAATGTTCTGAATCATAGCTATAGAGAAAGAAAATCAACCTAGAATTATTGTTGACCTTTGAAAAACACAGAGGTTTGTCAAGGGTGCCAACCCTCTACGCAGTCAAAAATCATCTATAACTTTTGACACCCCCAAAAACTTAACTACTAATTGCCTACTCATGACTAGAAGCCTTACTGATAACACATAAATAGAATAATATCTACATATATTATATATTATATGTATTCATGACATACCTTTTTTCTTATTTTTTTCTACATTTCTAGGGTACATGGTTCATCTATGAGTTTTCTTCAAATTGTCAAAAATGTCCAAAATTTTTTCCAATATATTAATTGAAAAAAATCTGCATATTTAAGTGGATGTGTACAGTGCTAACCCATGTTGTTCAAGGGCCAACTGTAGTTTCTAACACATAGGGTCTGCTGAGATTAAATAACATAAAACAGTGGTAGACATGATCAACATTATGATGCCATTTTTATTTTCCATCAGATGAACCGTCTAAGAACAAGATGACACAGTTCTAAGGGTGGTCCATCCTTTTTTTTTTTTTTTGCCTCATCCATTATCCCAAGTCACTAACATGATGTTTGATAATGACTCTAAGGGGAACAAAAGAACACTGCAACTGGGTTTCAAAGCTTTTGGGGATTTGACAAGGTTATTTCAGGAGTTTGGTTCAAAAGAAATTGGAGTGTTGTCAATATCTATGCAAAATGCATTCTAGGTAAGATAAGGAAGAAGTTTAACACAAAACACAATGATAGACTGAGACTAGATAATGTAAAGGTACAAAGAAACTAGAAATAATAATAACTATAAAAAGAAGGTTTGGCAAAAATGAAAAAGGAGACAAGGCAGAAAAAAGAGATAGCAGAAGATGGGAAGCAGGAATTTCAGAGTAGGAAATCTAGTATATAAAACAATTCAGTAATAACTGGATCAAGACAAGGCCTTGAATGGGAAAGTAGAGATAGACAATTGTGTACAGGCAGACATGTCAAGTGCAGGAGCAAAGTATTATCTTGGATCATATCTAAGTTTACTCTGTCTAGCGAAATGGGATTATACAGAATAATCTAAACACAAAAATTAAAAATGCTGTAAATGAATAACATCATTTTCAGATAAAAGACTCCAATTGTAGAGGAATAGGACTAAAATGAAATAGCAAATGATGAAGCTAGAGAGAGAACTGAACAGGAATAATTAACAGGAATTTAAAGAAAATTAAATTTAAAAGAACATGTATTGAGAAAAAAAGAAAAAAGGAAAGAAAACCATGAAATGAAAGGTCAAATTCTTTACTCAATAAAGAAAAGAGTATGCAAAGTTGAGCTCCAAGCAATTTACAACAGTGAAATTCCAGAAGAAAAAAACAGGTAACATTATCAGAAAACCAAAACGAGAAGCTGCATTCCTTTGCTTTTCATATTACCACATTTTGTCCATTTTCCTTATACTTATCTGGCTCCCTCCCCTCACTGTCCTCTGTAAATCTTTACTTATTCTACCCAAATTGAAATGCTGCCAGTTTCTCCACCTTTAATTCTGGGTCTTCTTACTGTTTTCTCATCTATTCCAAGGCTGAAAAACTCTCAAATTTTATCACAAACCCAAAACTCTCTTCTGAACTGCAGGCTTTTAATATTAAAGTTACCTGAAACTCAAGAGAACCAAAACTGAACTTAAAATTTGCTCTTCAAGTCTGTCTCCTTTAATACGATTTCAGTAAATGATATCACCATCCAGCAAATTACTCTAGCTAGAAATTAAACAGTAATCTTCCCTTTTCAAATCCAAATAAGCAAAGGGTCCTGCTATTTTTATATCTCAAATATTTCTAGAATCTATATAGTTTGCTCCATCTGTCACAATCTGGGCCCAGCCAGCATCATCTCATTAGGTAACTACAACAGTCTTTTACTGATCTTCTCATATTAACTCCTATTTCTTTCCAACTTATTTTCACACTAAAGCCCAAGTGATAAAATCATAAGAAGTCTGAATATGGAACTCCCTTTCTAGCTTCATCTATGTTATTTTATCTTAGTTTACCAACTTCCAGCCACACTGATCTTCCTTCTGGCTTCCTGCCTTAGGGCACTTATACATGGGTTCCTACTGACTGAAATGATCTTTCCCATTCTCTTCTCCAGTTAACTCCTGTCATGTAACAAAGTGGTTAAGAGTATAGACTATTTTGTCTGGGATCAAACCCCATTTTTACTACTAATTAACTATGTGACCTCAGGGAAATTGCCTAACCTCTCTATGCCAGTTTTTTTCTGTAAGATGAAGAAAAGAATAGCACCTACTTCACAGAGTTGTTGTGAGGATGAAACAGTTCATCTAGACAGCAGATTGTGGAAACATTATAAAGCTTTAAATTGACATTTTTTCCACATTTAGGTATCTGGCAATTAATTTTTTAATAAGCTGCCTCATTATAAAAATAATTTGATGCAGCTGAATTTACTTCTTTGCCCTGATCTATAAGAAGTATACAATCAAATTTATAGTCCACCTAAAAAAAATTAATATTACTAACCTCATCTTATTCTAACTTTGTTTCTTTTCTCCCTGAAGAAAATAAGAGTATGCCACTTCAAAATATCCTTTGACGTAAGGATTTTTTTGAGCTGAAGGCAATTAGTTCTCTGCTCTCCCTCTTTCTAAGCAGAACATAAATCTCCCTCTATAAAGGTTAAAGGAACTTCCATTTGATAATTTCCATTTCCTATACCAGGAAGAGGAAAATGACTCTTAATCTATATAATAAACAATAAATAATAATTCTTTTGGTTTTTTGAGGCAGAATTTTGCTCTGTTGCCAAGCTAGAGTATAGTAGAGCAATCTTAGCTCACTACAATCTCTGCCTCCCGAGTTCAAGCAATTCCCCTGCCTCAGCCTCTAAGTAGCTGGGACTACAGGTGCACACCACCACGGCAGGCTAATTTGTGTGTGTGTATGTATTTTTAGGAGAGATGGGGTTTCACCATAATAGCCAGGATGGTCTTGATCTCCTAACCTCATGATCCTTGAGCCTTGGCCTCCAAAAATGAGACTACGGGCATGAGCCACCGCGCCTGGCCAATACTTCTTATTTACCTTACATTTCCAAGTCACCTTCTCAAATCCAGGACTTCCCAGAAATCCCAAACCCCTTTTCCTTTGTCTATCCTCTTCTCTATATGTTATCTCCCTTTGTGAAGATGGTATATAAGCCTTAATTCTAACTACCTCCTTGAGTCACATTTCTTTGTGAAATCTGTGCATATAGATTAAATGTTTTTTTACACACTTAACCTGTACACTCCCACCAGTTTACAAATGCCACCGCAACATCAAGAAGTGACCTCATATGGTCTAAAGGGGAGGCATGAATAATCCACCCCTTGTTTAACACACAATAAAAAATAACCATAAAAATGGGCAAGTAGCAGCCCTTGGGGCTGCTCTGGCTATGGAGTAGCCTTTCTTCTACTACTTCACTTTTCCTAATAAACCTGCTTTCACTTTATTCTATGGACTTGCCTTGAATTCTTGCTTGCACAAGATCCAAGATCCTTCTCTTAGAGTCTGGATCAGGACCCCTTTCCTGTATCATGATCATAACTCACTGCAGCCCTCAAACTCCTTGTGACAAGTGATCCTCCTGCCTCAGCCTCCTGAAGAGGTAGGACTACAGGAACAAGCCACCATGCCTGGTTAATTTTTTTTTTTTTTTTTTTTTTGTAAGGACAGGATCTCATTATTTTGCCAGGCTGGTCTCAAACTCCTCCCTGCCTCAGCCTGCCAAAGTGTTAGGACTACAGGTATGGGCCACCAAGCCCGGCTTTGATATTCTTCAATGCAAAATTAACATTCTCTTCTTTGTACTCTCATAGCACAGCACATTTTACATCACCTATTGTAAAAACTACTACTGTATTATTGAATATAACTGTGGATGTATTTTTCTCTACTATTTCTGAAGCTGACTTGGGACCTAGTATAATGAGTTACTCATGTTTGTATATTTGTCCCTAGCACAAGGAGGGCCATACTATCAGGCAATGGTCTATCAAGATATAACCCCAGTGTACTTGCATGTCAAAGCAGACTTTAAGAAATAACACAGTGGACAAGAAAGACTAGTTCCTACATAAATCTTCAACTATGGAATCCAAGATGGCCAAAGAGGAACAGCTCTAGAGTGCAGTTCCCAGCAAGAACAACGCAGAGAGTGAGTGATCACCCCATTTCCAAACGGGTTTTCACTGCCCACAGACCCAGAGATTCCTGGGCCGAAAAGTGCCAGGAGTTTCCAGCAAGGCTGTTTCAGCCAGTGCTGCAGGTTGGTGCACAGAAACTCACACAAATCTGGGTGGCGGTTTCAACTGGCACCTGGAATGCCTGGGAGACAGAGCAGCCCATTCAACTGAAAGGGAGGGGGCTGAGACAGGGATCCAGGTGATGTGGCTCTGTGGGTACCATCCCCACAAAACAAGCAATCTGAAACACTCTGGATTGACAGTTTCACACCAAGCACAGCTGGACCCAGGATGGTCCAGCTCAGTGGGGGGAAGGACATCTGCCACTATTGACACAGTCCACCAATACCAAGGCAGTTCTAACTGTACCTCTGTAAACAACATCTCAAGGAAGTTCACACAGCAGTTGGGCAGAGCCCACAGCAGCTCAGTGATGCCTCTGCTGGCAGACTGCGACTAAACTATCTCTGTGCTGGGGAGGGCATCTATGGAAAAAGGCAGCAGCATGTCAAGAACTTAAAAATAAAGCCCAATCTTCCTAGGACAGTGCACCTGGGAAAACAGGCGGTTATGAGTTCCACTGAAGTAGATTTAAAGGTACCTGCCCAGCAGCACTGTACAGAACAACGGAGCTCCCAACACAGCACTTGAGCTCCTATAAGGGATAGACTGTCTCCTCAAGGAGCTCCCTGACCCCCATATACCCAAAGAGACACCTCATAAAGGAAAGTTCAGGCCGACACCTGGTGGGTACCCTTCAGGGACGAAGGTAAGAGTAGAAGAAACTGGCAGCAACCCTTATTGCTCTGCAGCCCCCATGGGTGATCCCCAAGCAAGGAGGGTCTGGAGTGGACCACCAGCAATCCTGCAGCAGAGGGACCTAACTGTTAGAAGGAAAACTAAGAAACAGAAATAAATGGCTTCAAAATCAACAAAAAGGACATCCACTCAGGGATCCCATCTGCAAGTCACCAACTACAAAGACCACAGGTAGATAAAGCCATGAAGATGGGAAGAAACCAGTGCAAAAAGGATGAAAACACCAAAAACCAGAACGCCTCTCCTCCTCCAAGGGATCACAACTCCTCATCGTATAGGGAACATAGCTGGATGGAGAATGAATCTGACTAATTGAAAGAAACAGGCTTCAGAAACTGGATAATAACAAACTTCTCTGAGCTAAAAGAACATGTTCTATTATAAAGACACATGCACATGTATGTTCATAGCGGCACTGTTTATGATGTTTATGACAGCAAAGACCTAGAACCAAGATAGACTGGACAAGGAAAATGTGGCACATATATACCATGGAATACTATGCAGCCATAAAAAATGATGAGTTCATGTCCTTTGTATGGACATGGATGAACCTGGAAACCACCATTCTCAGCAAACTGACACAAGAACAGAAAATCAAACACCACATGTTCTCACTCATAGGTGGGTGTTGAACAATGAAAACACAGTGACACAAAGAGGGGAGCATCACACACTGGGGTCTGTTTTGGGGGGCCGGGGAGGGACAGCGGTGGGGTGGGGAGGCTGGAGAGGGATAACATGGGGAGAAATGCCAGATATAGGTGACAGGGGGATGGAGGCAACAAACCACATTGCCATATGCACCTATGCAACAATCCTGCGTGATATGCACATGTACCCCAGAATCTTAAGTACAATAACAAAAATAAATAAATAAATAAATAAATCTTCAACTCATCAGCATCTTTATACCTTTTGCTTCAAAGCTAGCTTTCTACCAACTCTGACGTTCAAATTTGTTCCCTATGAAGAGAGACCCTTGAGGCCTCAACATGACACCACCTATGCTCTTGTTTAACACATTAAGCCAAACATGACAGGCATTTACTAATATTTGCAGAATCAATCAATCAAAGGCAACCTTGTACAGTAAAAGAAGTCTCAAATAATGTATACTTTAACATGTCTCTGTGTATATACAGATATGTCAATATGAAAAATCAAATATTTTTCATCATCTGCTAGATAATTAACTTTTTTTTACCACCCTCTTTCCCATATCTCTCACCAAGTTCCCTGACAAAATCTAACTATTTAGAGCACTAGGTATGTGGTAGAGCTCAACTGTGGTTATGGTACTGAACATCTCTTATTAGAATTCTGGCAATATTTGATTATACACGTATAGCAATGTGTACAATCTTTCAAAAAATAATAAAATGTATTAGCATTCTAGTTTTCCTTAATTTCCGTTATGTGACCTTGGATGAATTAATTGTGAAACTTGACTTAATTGCTCTGTGGCTTAATTTCCTTACCTGTAAAATGATAGTACCAGTTCCTACCACAGAGTAATGCTACAACACTTAATTAAAACATGTAATTAAAATATGTAAAACACTTAGAATATCTGATATATAAAAACACTCAAAAAATTTTTACAATCAATAATCATCATTACAAAAAATATTTCTACTCACAGTCTATAAAACACAAATATTCTAAGTAAGTATTTTAAGAGAAATAAACCAGGGAACTTGAAAGCCTAGTTTACAGTCTATTATTCAATAAAACTGTAAAGAAAACATAGTTTGCATTTATCAAGGTTTTTAATCTTAAGTTGAAATACATAAAATTGCCATTTTTATAGGGAAAAAAGTTGAATATCCCCCACCATATAGGGTTAACTTTCAGTTTTTTTATATCTACAAATTATTTTATGTTAGAAAAATTAAATACATTTCACTGAAATGCATTTAAAAGAATTTTAAGAAATGCAAACTTAGCCTTCAATTAAGCTTCCAAAAACAATTTTAAAATAAGTGAAAATATTGCCACCACAAGCATCTTTAAGTGGAGAACGAAAGAACCTGGTTACACTACTAAAAATGCAGTGAACATTTTCCTCAAACACTGACTTTTTAACCAATAGGGCTCAACTTTCCTAATTTAGTTCTCTAAATGGGCTCCTGTATAAAAAGACTAATGGAGGTTAAAAAAAAAAAAATCTACTGACTATCTTTTCATTTGAAGACAGTTGCCAAAATCATTACTTTCAATCAAAAATTATATTCTGTTAGATAATTCTTCTAAAGTTTCTAAAGAAATATGCTTATGACTAGAGAGTTTTCCTGAAAAGGAAAATTAAAAATCCTGATTCTCAGATCTGAGAAACATTAATCATTCAAATATAGCTGTTCATTCTTTCATTCATTCATTTAACTAACATTTATTGAGTGCTTCCTACATGTTCTGAGGTCACAGCAAAGGTCCTTATCCTCAAGAACTCAGAATGCTCAGAGGAGAAAAATTAAATAGAAAATAATAAAATGTCATAAAAGCTATAAAAGAATTTAGCAAGGAGACTTAGCTCAGATTGTAGGAAATGGAGCATAGCATCATCCATAAGAGGAAATTGCAAAGTACAAAATTAAGGATATGCGAATCAAAAACACTCAAAGCAACTCAGCTTGGTTGGAATGAAGGGTTAAATTAGTGGAAACAACAAGCAATATATCGAAAGGGGATTAGTGCAGACTGGATCAAGGACTAGATGAAGGATTTTGCATGCCATAGCCTAGTAAAGAGTTTGAATTTTACCTGGTAGATTTGCAAATAAATGAACAGTGTTATGAAAGAGGCAGGGTGGGGAAAAAGGAGGAGAGAAAGGAGGCCAGGGGTACACAGGTACTGATGATAGCTTTATATATTTAGTGGATACCATATTTATAACTTAGGGTAACAAAGCAGAGAACATAAATAGGAAAAAAAGAAAACAACTTACCGTGCTTTCCCCTAGAAATATCCACATACTGGCACAGTCTGGGATGGGTGATGGTTTTGAGGATTTGAAAGCGACCTAAAATTTTGATGGAATTTGGTGTGAGAGGAAGCCCATTGCTTCCACAAACATCATGTGGCAGAGCCGAGGCAAAGAAGGTAAAGGCTCCCATTTCAGCATCCTTCAAGGGAAACATTTTTGGAGTCCTAGGTCTTCTAAGATAATCTAGAAAAGGAGAGAGTTTTAAGCCAAACAGACCAAACCTTAACCATGATTAACATACAACTTGGAGGAAAATGCCAATCTGAACACTTTTACTGTGATGTTTCACTTCACAGTAAAAACATCGAAGTAAAAAAATTCTAAAATATCAGAGGACAAAACACCTAAGCATAAACGTATATTGCAGCTCTAAATCAAACGCAAACATTTTCAATGGCATAAAAAGGAAAAGAGAGATTATTCCATCTTCAATGACATGTGACAGTTTAAAAAGTAGAGGAAGTTAGTTTCTGCCATCTTCATATTATTAATAAGGCTCTTCTCTTTATCTAAAGATTCAATAACCCACATACCATCGATAACCTTCCTTCTCATACAGTGAGGGAAGTCAGGAAAGAGAAAATATAGATACCAACGGTCAGGGACCTTACAATAGTAGTCAAGCTTAAACTAGAGTAACAGAAGGCTATATAACATTAATAATCAGTTTTTAATTTTATGCTAAGTGTTTTACATTATGCATGATCTGATTTAATCATCTTAATAATCTTGACAAAGCTACTATCTCCAGTTTAGAGGTAGTTGTTTCACATGAATAGCATGAGGCATCCTATTTGCACTGACTCCAAAACAAATAGTGCCCCCAGAGTTGTGTAAGGTTAAGCCTGGAGATTAGGAAATTTGCTGCTTATCAATCTGAATCACATTAAGGCAACCATAACAAAAAAAAAAAACAGGTCTCCTGACACAAAAATATTTTACCCATGTGTCCCACTAAAAAGACGTTCTACTGGTAAAGCACGGCATTTTTCCCTTCTCAGCTTTTATAAAAAATATACTGGAATTCCAATTTGATAAGACCATTTTTCTTATGTCTAACCAGACGTCTTAATGAAATCATTAAAAATATAGTATTTAAAAATGTACAAATGCTTAACAAGGAAGAAAAAATAAACAGGCCATGAGGCAATGAAAGATTTCTGGAAACCTGTACAAAACAAAATATATATGGAAGAGTATTGTCACAAGAAGCTGAAATAAATAAGCTACAACCTATAATAGCCAGGAGGTTTGTTTGGCCTCTTCAAAGTCAGAGGCTTCAGACTACGAGAAGGTAGGAACAATGGTAAACCGCAGTCAAAGAGGGTTTGAAATCAGAAGGGTGAAGTGTTGAATAATTAGAAGTGTCAACTCTGCCACCAGCCCCACAACATGGGCAGTTATTTACCCTCCATGAAAAAAAGAATAAGATAAGTTTCTTCCCTAAAGAAGTTGAACAAACTGTCAGAGAACTACAGTAGTTGCTATGGTGAGTAGAGCAAACTCCTCACAATCTGGAATTTGTAGGATCCCAGCTAAGATTTGGCTGTGCACGCAGCCATTCCAAAACAAAATATATCAGTCAATAAGCATGTACACATATGCAAAGCTCCCAGGCAGCCTTCCTTAACTCTTAAATAATGAGTTGTCTGGGAATCATCAGATAGTTGAGGAAAGACTACAGTATAAAGGGCAAACAATAAAATAAACCTCCAAAAATCTGACTTTGGAAGCAAGTGAAATAATTTATACATATATAAACACACACACACAAACCAACTCTAATATAGAGAGATTTGAGAAGATATTGCTTCCATTACCTAAAACAAATTATAGAAAAACCTATTATACAAAAGAATAAAGAGAAATGGCCAATACATACATGAAAAGATAAACAATCTCATTAATGATCAAGGAATTACACATTAAAACCACATAAAAATTTGTATCTACCAGACAGTTAAAAATTAAGAAATCTGATAACACGTAATGTTAGAAGGATGTAGAAAAATAGGATCTCTAATTTAAGTGGGAGTATAAATTAGTAAATATAAGTGGGAGTATAAATTAGTAAAATCACCAGAAACATTTTACACTATCTTGCTATTCCTACATTCCTACACACACACACATACACACACACGGAGAGAGAGAGAGAGACAGTGGACCTGTGGAAGAAAGGATCAGGGCCATATTGCTCCTAATATCCCCAGACTGGAAACAATTTAAATGTCCAATGGCAGGTAAATGGTTAAATAAATCGTGGTACATTCACCTGTATACATAATGAAAAATAAGCAAACTCTAGCAATATTTAATAGCATAGGTGAATCTTAGAAATATAATATTGAGTGAAAAAAGGTAACATAAAACATGCCGATTTTCATAAAACTCAAAAACAAAAAATAAAATAAACAATTTTGGAATACTTACATATATTTTAAGAATATACTCAACGAGTAAGGAAATTTTTTTTTTAATTAGCAGAAGACGGTTACTACCAAATCAAAGCAGTGGTAAGGTTAGGGAAAAATCCATAAGAAGCTTCAAAATCTTGAGAAATAGCCTAGTTTTTAGCTGGTGGATTAATGGGTATTCATGTTATCAATATGCTTGTAATTTCCATGCTCTGTATCTATATTTATCTACATATGTGTGTGCACAAATACCACATCTCATAATTTAAAATTTTTCAATAAAATAAATTGATTTTCAACAAAGACAAAAGAATTCAACAGAAAAAGTCTTTTTTACAAATGGTGCTAGAAAAATATATTCTTTATAAAAATTATAACCCCAACTTCAAAAATAATCATTTATGAAAATTATAACCCCAACTTCTACTGATTTATTCACAAAAATTTAAGATGTATCATAGGCTTATATGTAAAACGTAAAATTGTTAGTCTTCTAGTTGAAAACATAAAAGAGTATCTTTACAACCTTAGGCTAGGCAAAGACTTCTTAGATACAACAAAGCACTTGCTACAAAAGACAATTCTGACAAAGTAGACTTTACTAAAATTAAAAACATCTGCCTATCAGAAGGCACCCCTAAGAAAATAAAAATTCAAGCTAAAGGGAAATATTTACATCTATATATATATACATATGACATTATGTATACCTATGACCTTTTAAAATCAAATATATGTCTGTATATAACCGACCTGTATTCAGAGTCTGTAAAGAACTACCACAAGTCAATAATAAAACAAGCCAATACATAAATAGGTAAAATCACAAATATATTTTCACACAAGGCATGATGAGGAGAAAATGGAAGAATAATTTTGGAAAATATTTGGAAAACTCTTCTAAAGTTAAAAATATCCCTAACTGGTGACTCAGAAATTCCACTCCTACTAGGTATTTACCCAAGAAAAATTAAAATATTTGTTCATAAAAATGCTTGTATGAGCATGTTCATAGGAACTATACTCCTAATAGCTAAAAACCGGAAGCAATGCAAGTATCTCACAAGTGAATGAATTAACATACTTTTACCATGAAATTCTATTCAGCAACAAAAATAGAACAAACATCAAAATATGGATGTACCTCAAAAACCTTAAGTTTATGAAAGAAGCAGACACAAAAGAGTGCATACTGCATGACTCCATTTAAATGTAATTCCAGAACTATAGTTCTAAACAATAGTATTAATAATAAAAATCAGAAGATAGTACTGTGCATGGGGAAGAGGGGACGGAATAAATAGAGAAACAGAGTAACTTTCTGTACTGATAGAAATATTCTCTTGATTGTGGTGGCAGTGGTTACAAGGATGAAGGCATGCATCAAAACTCATAAAATTGGCCACTTAAAATCAGTGCATTTTAATATGTATAAATTTCATCTCATAAAAAATTAAGAGCCTATGAGAAGATAATAATTTTAAAAAGAGTAGAAATTATATGTTTGGCAAATCAAATAGAGGCATTGGAAAATAAAGTTCAGACAATTGCTGAGAACATGGAGCAAAAAGACAAATAGGTAAAAACAGAAGAAAAAAAGATAAGAAAGATAGCCTGTTCCCCAAGAGAAAGCAGACAACCAATGCAAAAGGACTAGAATGCAACAGTGAATGGACCAAGCCAAGCATCCAGCAGTCACTTTACAGGGAGTTTCAAAAAAAGGAGAGAAAAATAAAGAAGAAGAAATTGTGAGAGATACGGAGAAAATCCCCCACAGCTGAAGGAAATATGTACCTTCAAATTAAAAAGCCTTATAATTTCAAGGAGAATAAATGAAAAAAACCTACACTGAGACCCTTAACTCCTATGAATGAATTCACAGGAAGAATAAACTTGTATCTAGACACACTGCCATAAATTTTCAAAGCATCAAATGTAACTAGAAAATTTTAATCATTTCAGAGAGAAAAAGATTCTGCTATCAACAAATTAAAGTGAGACTGGCATTCTCATCAGCAATAATCAGTTAGAAGAAAGCCTTGTTGGTGGCGTGTGCCTGTGATCCCAGCTACTCAGGAAACTGAGGTGGGAGGATCACAAGAGGTCAGGAGATCGGGACCAGACTGAGCAACACAGTGAGACTCCACCTCAAAGGAGAAAAAAAGGAAAAAAAAAAAGTTAAAGACACTGAAGGATTGAGAGCTGAAGGAAAATACTTTTGATTCTATACATAGTCAAACTACCAGTCATAAGAGCAAATTATCATTTATAGCCATACAAATATTAAAAAGTAAAATTACTTTCTACATGCCTTTTGTAAGCAAGTTTCCTTAGGACATATTCCAGGAAAACAGGGGAAAACCAGGTAACAGAAGGCAAGGGGCTAAGAAAGTTATTCACCCAAGAGTAAATATAAACCCAGGATAGAAAAAAACAATGCAAAAGAACTAGAATGCAATCCATTCAAATTAAACAGAAAGCCACTGGGCTTCAAGGGAATTATCTTCAAGCAGAAGAATGGAAGCTTCAATGTGCGTCATACAAAGAATGAGAAGATTCAGTGAAGAAAGTAAATCCACCTACCTATTTCCCAAGAGAAAGCAGAAAGGCAACCAAGAAAGTGGGGATGGGTAAAAAACTGTGTAATTACACAGTCCAAAATATAAAGCATGCTCAACTACAGCATATTTTGCCATTGGTGGGAAATAAATAAAAATCCATTTGAACTTGATATCACAGTCTTAGTATGGCACAAGAATCATGAAGTTAAAACTCTGGTGAAAAAAATGTATCATAGCATACAGCTTGGACTTGCACCCAATAACAACTATAAAGCCATAATACTGTAAACATTTTATTGGTTTTTGGCATGTGATCAAAGCACAAATATTATAGTTAAGAAATACATTATCAACCTTGACAATGTACAAGTAAATGTTCAGCTAAGGGAAAGTGGGCAAGAAAGTAGTTTCTGAGGTGATAAAGGAAAAGGTAGAATCATTACTTTTCTCGTTTTACCGAACAAGAAGTCAAATATATTTTTAAAAGTTGATGTGAAAAAAGTAGTTACGTATATTATTTCGAATTATAAAGCAACCAATACAAAAACTAAAAATTGTGATTATATGACTATTTCAAAGTTCAGAGAAGTTGTGAATGGTGTGAGCTATCTCAAGAAGTCAACAACAAAAGAATTAGCAGTTTAACTTAAGGCTATCTCAAGAAGTCAAAGGAAAAAGAACTAGCAGTTTAATTTATTATTCAACCTACAGACCTAGTATTACAAAAGGTTAAAAGTGGTTATCCCTGAAGAACAGTACTGGGGAAATAGGACAGGTGACACAGCTGCACTTTATTATTCAATCTTACTGTGCTATACTATTTGATTTTCAATCGGATGCCTTTATTGCTTAGACAGCTGAAAATAACCTAATAAAACACAATAATCAAAAAGATAAAACACTAATTAGCATAAAAGATTTCATCAGTGTTCTGCTTCCACTACCTCTTAAATGGTTGTACATAAAAAGGCTCACACACAAAAATACATACATACATTTGCTTACACCTGGTGAGTGGAAGAAAACTAGGAGGAATAAAAACCATGCTGCGGTGAGAGATTAGATGAGGGAAACAACAATGCAAACAGTTGGGCTTGATCATTCATTCATTCAACAAATATTTTGAAGCCCCTATTTTAAGCCAGTTGTTTTTCCAGCTGGTGGGCAAAGGACAATGAACAAGTCAGACTCTGCCCTCAAAGAACTTATGACTCGAACGAGGGGAGAAAGTAAAAAACAGGGCAAAAGATACTGATTTTATCATGAATTAAAGTTTCACATTTCTTCAACAGGAAAATTATACTAATTCATTACTTTATATATGCAGTCCCTCAACAGGTTATTTTTTTCCCAAACATAGAAACAGGGCAGGGGCCCTTGAAAAGCAACCACTGACAATTATCAAGTAACTTCCTTCCACTGCTTCACTTTCTCCTACTGCTCAAGGGAGTGTTACACTTCGACAACTGACTAACCCTTGAGGGCCAGAAACAAATCAAAGCGAAATTCTCCCTCTACGGTGAGTAACGGAGGGGCGGATTCTAGATGCTCTAGCCTCCTCCTTTAGCCTTCCTCTGAGGCAGTGAGAAAGCGATTGCTGTGCCTGCGGCTCCCAAAGGACTCAGGTGAACGTGTGATTCACAGGAAAGGCGGCCTGTAGCTAGGGATGGGGACAGAACCCATCAGCAAGCCGCTCCACAGCTCGGCTCTCCATCTCTCCTGAGAACATGCGGGGCCACTCACTGCTCCTGATAGTCCTCCACCTCCCGCAGACCCCACCCACTACGGCACGGAAAACTCGATTACCCAAATACCTGCCTCTGAGTCTGGGGACGTAGGCAGGCACAAAGACAAGGGGGATGGAGCTTCTACACAGGGCCCCAGCGCTGTCGCTGTGGCAGGTGTTGCCGCTACGGCTTAGTGCACCAGACGCTTCATTCCAGGTGCTCCTACAAAAGAGGCCGCTCCTGGAACGCCGGGAGCTCAGAGGTTGCGAACCGAGTCAGCTAAGGTTTTCTTCCCGGAACCCGGCCAGGAGCGCGAGCCCAGACGCCCCATTCACAGCTCCCAGCTTTTTACCCTCCTCCCTCCCCTCAGCCTGGCCTTTTCTTCTGCCCTCACAGCCTCCGCGACCCAACACTAAGGAAAGACCCCGACTTCTGGCGTCCTGCCCCTTGCCCAAACAGGCGAGGAAATATAGCGAGAAAGAGATGCGGGGCTGGGGGGCGGTTGGAGATACTGAATGAGGGAATGGAAGACGAGGAGCGTGGTGTGGCAGGTTAGTGGGACTGCACACAGGAAGGGGAAGACAGAATTTGGGATTGAACCTGTAGAGCACTCAGGCGTTCAGCAAAGACACCTCATTGGGTCCTTTCTCGCTGCTATAGTACGCGGGTGGTTGTTCGTACACGCTTCCTGCTGTGGCTGTCTCGGAACGCCAGTCCGCCGCTTCATGTGAGTGGTGTCGTGGAGGGTCACTCACACGGGGATCGCGGAATGCGGTCGTGGGAGGGTCTTCCCTCTCTAACTTGTCTCCAGGAGAGAGGATCTGGCCTGCCGGTCCTCATAGGTAGTCCGCTCGCATTAGGACCAGCCCTGGCCTGAGAAACAGACTAAGAGCTGGAGACCTTCTAAATGAGCTGCCTTTGAGAAATAGGATGCAGGGCTAAATTAACAATGCTACTGGAAAAAAACGATCCGTAAGCGTATTTGCTATTATGTAAATGTGTGTGTCAAAGGACTTCGGTGCTCTGGGGAACAGGAGGGTGAAGACAGGAATTTATTCATGCACCGAATAGTTATTAAGCTCCCACTCTATTCCAGGCACCGTTCCAGGCATTAGGTGAAGAGCAGTGAACAAAACAGACAGACATCTCTGTCTACTTGTAGCTCACATTTTAGTGAGGAAGGCACATACTAAGCAAAGTAATTAGAAACATGCTTTTTTTTAGGTCGTGATGAGTGCTGAAGAGAAATATAAAGCAGGGAAGAAGGATATGGGTTGAAATTTTAGAGTGACACAGGAAAGGCTTACTGAAAAGATGACTTTTAGTAAAGAGCTGAAAGAAGTGGGAGATTTATCCATGCAAGTATTTTGAGGAAGTGCAGTCAGACAGAGGGATCAGCCATTGCAAAGGTCATGAAGCAGAAACTTGCCAAAATAGCAAGGAAGCCTGTAGGTCAAAGTTGAGTGAAGGGTTTAATCCTTCACTGGAAAGTAAATCAAGGAAGGCAGGTCATGAAGATCTTGAGGGCATCTAACTTTTATTCTTAATGAAACAGGATTTGGGAGGGTTTTGAGCAATAGAGTGATGTGAGCTGACTTCCTTTTAAGAGGATCAGTCTGGCTGCTATCAAAAATACACAAAGGAGGACTTGGTGGGAGAAGGAAGGCCAATAAGGAGAGTTTTGCAATAATCCAGAGGAAGCATGTTGGTGGTTTGACTGTGGGTGGTGAGAAATGGCCATTTATATTCTTGGTGCACTTAATTTGGATATGTAAGAGTATTATAGATGACAGGATTAATTTTATTTAATTAGGCTTTGGAGGACACTTTAAAAATGAATTCCAGTGTGAGTTTCAGAGTGACAAACACAAGTAAAAATCATGGCTTTGCTATGTGATACTTGAAGGGATTCAGATAAGTCATGTGATTTTCCTGGATCTGTCTATAAAACGGAAATAATATTTCTCAAGATGGCAAAGATTAAGGTATATTGCAGATATTTAATGACAAGGTATGTAATGGGCCTAGTCTGCAAATCTCAACCAGGTAAAAGATGGCCTTATTGTGAGTTAAGAGGGTCATGGGAGGCCAAGATATATTCCTTTTTAAATATGGACTCTTTACTGGGGAGAAAAATTTTGTGTTAATGACAATGGTATTTAGAAATACATGGACTGGCCTCTCATATCTGTCTACTCTATAGTCATTCTCATAGCCATTCTTTAAACCCTCCAGGACTCCCTGTGTCCTCATCAGTAAAGGGAAAGAAGACTCTCTGGTAAGGGAAGCAAGAATAAATAGGAACTTTCATAAAAAGTCAATTTTAGATATTCTTTTTATAGGTTTTGGCAAAGGTTGATGAAAGACCTATGGAATTACCGCTGGTTGCTGCGCTTACATATTTTGAGTGTCGTGAGATGCATTATTCTCAGCATATTTACCTTTTCTTATCTTCTTTAAATTCTGACTTTTTACATATATGATTTAAATCCTAAGAGGAATTTTCACCTAGTTCTAAAAGGTGCCACATTATTTAACACTATAATAAGGACATTCTGTCAGTGTGGGGTAGTTTATTTATACTGTAATACTCTTACGTATCCAGTAATTAGATCATCTAGCAAATCAGGGAGAGAAGTTGGAAGACATGAAGGGAGGAGAAGACAGGAAAAAAATGAATACAATTACTATAGTCCATCAACTCTGATATATACATTTTTCTCATACTTACATCTCTGAAATAGGCGGGTATTTTTAAATTGTTAACATCTTTAAATCACCATAGATGAATTGGCAGTTGTGAAATATTTGTCATTGCCCACACTTATGCACACTTGGTCATAACTTAATGTTGTCATTATGTCAGTGGAGTTATATATGCAATGTTGGTATATAGTTGTTGAGTTTAATTTTCCTTTTAAATATCCTTAGAGAAGATTATGATTAGCATTAGAATGAAAAGTTACTGCATATACAGGGAAACAAAAGAGTGATACAAGATAAAATTCCAGGGTTAAATTTGAAAGAAGTCTTTTGATAAATAATGTAGGATGTGTCTCAGTGATTAGAAAGCATTGGGTCAGTTGATTCAATAGTGTTTTTTGTTCATAATGGTACATAAAATAATAGAGCTTCTTGGGATTGAAGCCATTTTATAACTGATGGCATTTTAGATTTCCTGAAATAAAGTATTTAAAGCTTCCAACAAAAATGTAAATTTTTACCGAATGTAATTCTGAAATAGTGAAATTAGAGGTTTTGACTAGAGATACTTTCAAATTTGTGTAGAGTTCCTATATAGCATAGGAATTCTACAATTAAAAATCTTTATTTCAAAGTAGTAACGTTTAGGTTTGATTCCTAATGTTGACAGCCTGGGGCATAAGATTTTGCTATTTAAAAGAAATGACAGGCAATTTGGTTGGGGTGGGGAGGACTATTGAGGAAATTGCTGAGTAAACAAAATTGATAGTAAAGATCTCAAAATCTTAAAAATCCATCTTTGTGTGTATTTTAGTGATAAAGATGTACTGTAAATTCATGGACAGTATTTGGGATTCTGTGTTAGAGGCATCGTATGATTAATGCCTTTTTAGGTTTGATAAAATGTGATAATTAACATTGAGAAGGACAAAATTAATGTGAAGGGACAGAATGATTTAGAGAATATGTTTCAGAAGCTTTTGTCATTAAAAAAACATATGTTCATTCTTACCATTTTAATTTAGTAAAGGAAAAGGTCTTGATTCTCACCAAACACAATTAACATACTTGATATACTGTTTTCTGTGCTTTTCTCTTCATAAATATTTTATATTTGCAATTACTGTGCATGTAATTGTTATATCTATTTTAATCTCACAAACTTAACTTTTTTTTATTTTGGCCCAGAGACTTAAACCAGCATTTCCCAAACTGTTTTAGAAAATACTACTTTAAATAAATGTTAATAGATATTCCTGGGTTAGGATTCTGTCATTAAATGTGTTGGAAAATGCTTCGTAATTATATCCTTTAGAGAAATTATAGCTAGAGCATTAAAAGAGTTAGCTGCAGCATCAGACAGACCTGAGTTTCAATCCTCATTTACTAACTACATGTTACATGAGGCAAATTAATTTTAATTCAAGTTTTCTTCTCTGTATAATGGAGATTATTACAATATTCTAAATGATGTGTATTTAGCCAGCCATTGTACATGTTCTACAAATATATGTAGTTGTTATTATCATCTGTGAGAAACCTTATACATATTAGCATATTAGAAACTCTGAGGACTTAAAATTTTGAAGGTTAGCTTATACTCGATGTAAAATTGAAAAATCACAGAGGAATAATTAGCATAGATTAATTATTACAATATTACATAGATTATTACAAAATTATTACAATATTGTAGTATAGATTACAATATTACGTAGATTATTACAAAATTATTACACTATTCTAAATGACTTGGGTATTTAGCCAGCCATCGTACATGTTCTACAGATATATGTAGTAGTTATTATCATCTGTGAGAAACCTTATACATATTAGCATAGTAGAAACTCTGAGGACTTAAAATTTTGAAAGTTAGCTTATACTTAATGTAAAATTGAAAATTCACAGAGGAATCATTAGCATAGATTAATGAGTACTGGGTTGAATGGTAAAAGATTTATTTGAGCTTTAAGCAATGTTGTTAAATGATCACTGTGTCCTAAGCATAACATTATTTTAAAAAATGTCTTCAACTACGTTTCCCCCATTTGTCTGAAAACTTAGTGCAAAGAACATGATTATTTGTGTTCTCTGCTATAAACCCAGCATATGACACAAAATCGGGGAGTATAAAGTTGGGGTCATGCACTTACTTTTAGGGACCTGGCAGGTAATACAAATCACAGACAACAGTGGGTAGTAAAGTGTCTGTATGTCTTACTTAAAGACATTCACATCAGTTATTTCCAACACTGTTAACCCTGGAAAAGAAGGTATCCCTGAACTTTGTGGTATCAGTTTGTGATCCCTAGAAAATATTAGCAATTAAGATTAAACCCTGAAGAACATCATCATTAATGGGACATATAAAGAAAAAGCAACCCTGAAAGGAGATAACGAGGAAGTAGGAGGTGAAATCTGGTCAAAGTAATTTTATAAATTAAGAAAATGAAGTATAAAAAATTTAGGTAACTTTACCGAGGTCACACAGCCTAAATATATGATTTACCCAAGGCTTGCTTATAAACTCTCTGAAAAAAACCTTTGTTCCTCTGCCAGTGCTACTGATCATTATCTGCACATTACTAGAAAACATTAACATAAACTTATGCATCCAACCTATATTTTTTAAAAATTTAAATGATAACCAACAAGTATTAGAAAACCCGTTTTCAGGGCTTCTGTTCAAAGATAGCAAATGGCTTTTAGCATTTGAGAAAACTTATGTTAACAAAGAGACATAACTAGAAGTGAAATGTTTTTAGATTTCACAAGATGAAACATTTTAAATATTGGCATCATGAATAATATTTCCCAATAACCAGTTATCTAGGACTGGAGAGTAAGTAAAGGCTGGCTGCCAGCACAATGGCTCACACCTGTAATCCCAGCACCTTGGGAGGCCAAGGCAGGCAGATCAGTTGAGGTCAGGATATCGATACCAGCCTGGCCAACATGATGAAACCCCATCTCTACTAAAACTTCAAAGTTTGGCCAGATAGCACGCTCCTGTAATCCCAGTTGGAAGGCTAAGGCAGGAGAATCGATTGAACCCAGGAGGCAAGATCATGCCACTGCACTCCAGCCTGGGTGAAAAAGCACGACTCTGTCTCAAAAAAAGAAAAAGTTTTGTCACTTCTCTTTATGATGTTTCCTCTTAGCAGTTACATATGTGTGTTTAGTTCATTTGTGTTTATGTGTTTTAAAACATGACATTCTCCTTCCTAAACATGTTCCTTAATATGTATTTTTAAAGTCATATTTTATGTAACTCATTATTCCAGTTATATTTTACAGATAGTTAACAGATATATCAACTCAGTAAAATTGTATTTTTTTTCTCTTAGGCTAGGGTTTATTATCTCTGTTTTGCAAATTACTATTAGTGTTTTTTTGATTTTTCATCAGTGTGGTGAGTATTTATTTTTTAAGTTACTATCTAGACCTGTTGGCTTATTTATGAGCATTATTCTATATGGACTATTATTTTAACAGTTTAGAAAAATGTGGACCAAAAGAGCACAGAAATTCAAATGAAGATACCACCTTTTAAACTGCCATTTTTACCAAAGTGTACACAGAATACTGTGTCGTTGTTACTTAAATGTTTGCAAAGCCAGAATTGTAGAGAAAATATCTTAATAGAAATGGATATATGAAGAAAGTTAAAGTAAATAAAGTATGCTCTTCTGAATTTTAGTATCCTGAGTTACAGCATTTCTTTAGTTTTTAACTATTTTCTATTTTATTCCAATATAAATAATGATGAAATATATCAACAGATGAAATGTAGCTATCACAAACAATAATGTATACCTGATTGGGCAGAATTGGCAACTTGTACATCTCTAGCAAAGACATATTTGATGAATAATACTAAGATGAATGTGAATAATGGTGCATTTTAGAAAAATACATTTTGAAAAGGTACGACTCAAAACATCTTATTCAAATGTCAAAATTAAGAAAGAAAACTAAAAAACTAGTATCTTAACTGATAGGAAACAAGTAGATTTAAATATGGACTAATGCTCATAAATATGCCCACAGGTCTAGACAGTCACCTCAAACATAAATACCAGCCAGTTTATTGTGGCTTTTCAGAATATTCTTTGTATAGAATTGGTATTACATAATAATATAAAATTGTCAATCTGTTATTATATCCAGTTTTTATTAAAAATTTCACCATTAATACTGAGTGCTGCTTTATTTATTTAAAATTAGAATTATTTCAGCAATGCTTATGTCATTGTTACACCTTGAATTATAAATTCTTACTTAATCAGGTAAAAAAGAACAGTTCATAGTATTGCTAACAATTAACTCTCTGTTGTGAATGTGATTATTTTTCTTAGTATGAAGCAGTTTTAATTTTAACATTATGAATTAATCTCAGATTGTTTGCTTACATGTACCTTGGTAGTATTTTTAAAAATTTCTCTGAATTTATTATAAAACTAAAATTCTAATTTTTAAATTAAAGGACACAGTATATACTGACATTATATTGGAACATGCATGTGATTAATATTGTTTTCTTAATTATCTTTTTTAATATTTGTCTTTCCTAATTAACATGTTATTCTTGAAAATTGTAGATAAGTAAATACACAATAGAAAGATCGAGTATACAGAAATATAAAAGGAATGAAGTCAGCAACTCTTTACTTTGGAACACAGGTGTAATACTCCTTAGCGTAAAATTATCGTTATTCTTATCTCTTAGTGTACCTGAAACTTTCTTTGAAACTTTTCAACCTTAAATGTGGCTAGTCTGTTTTCTGCCTTGGGTACAAATTATATTTCCTCTTCCAAATAGAATAAGAAATTAGTCTGCTTAACACTTCTGTTTGTTTGGCCTGCTGCTCTTTATAGGAAAAATATTTTTCTAACATATTTATCTATTACAGTAGAATATGTTTTTTCTTTCATACTGCTTTTTCACGGTATCCTATAGTATAAATTTATTTCTTACACAGTGTAATTTATCACTTTTATTTTTTCATCTAGGATTTTCTGCCGTCTCTTGGCAAAAATGGCAAATAATGATGCTGTTCTGAAGAGACTAGAGCAGAAGGGTGCAGAGGCAGATCAAATCATTGAATATCTTAAGCAGCAGGTTGCTCTACTTAAGGAAAAAGCAAGTAAGAAAATTTAAATTTTTCTAAGGAGATACTTAAAATGAATTTGTACATTGACAGAGGAAAAATTATGTTTACCACATAAGTTATTTAAGTTTTACTTAGAAGTGTCTGTTCTGTGTAGAAAAATATCAGAATTTTTACCTTCAGAACTTTGATTGGTTTTGGTTTTGTTTGTTTAAATGTATTTTCTTCACAATAGTCAGTGTTAATGTTAGAATAGAAATTTGGAAATATTTTACTGCCACTGGTAGAAATAAATGTTCTTCTACATTTTCTAGTGTAAACAGGAACCTGTATTTACTCTCCAGAAACTTTTTCCTTAGTCATTTTTTTTCTAATTTTAACATGCCAATTTGTTTGTTTTTAAATAATGTTTATTGAGATTTTAAAATTATTTTTCTTAAAATTCTTACTCTCTTTTTATTAATAAGATGAAGAGGTTGCACATGATCATTGCTTGTATGACATAACACATGTTTTAAACAGAATTTTGTTTTCCATAGGTGACCATTTCATAGCACACCGACAAGCATTTCAGTTTTGTTGATTTGAAAACCTTTTTTACTTATTCTTCACCTTTCTATTATTCTTTTGTAGCCTATGCTGGCCGTTTTAGCCTATGCTGGCTGTTTTTAGTCATATTGCTCCTAATTTAAAATAAATATTTTATAAAATCTGTTAATACCTTATAAGGAAAATGTTTCTTAGAAAAATAACCTACCTATATATAATTTTAAAATATATATTAATCCAGTTTATAATAGAGAAGAGAAATAGAAAGGTATAAGTAGTAGTAATAATAATATATATTTTAGTAAGTAATACTTCTGCAGGATTATACCACCAGAGACAGTGTAAGAGGGTCACATGCCACATGATTCACATACATGGTATCATCAGTAATGCGGTAGGTACAATGCTGACTAGGATAGATGTGTAGTCAGACTGCATTTGTGTAGGTATCTTAGATACCAGAAGCAGATTTTAGTGATGTAGATAATTTACCCAAAATGATGAGTGATTGATTAGATAATGCTTTGATTAAAAGAAGGTACAGTCTACTCTTGATTTATGTGGTACTTGATTCATGGAAACTTCAGGGTATAATAAGCATGCTTAAAATTCCTACGTATGTATATATAAAGAATAGTTAAAATATAGGCTCAAATAATTATTAATGGGATTTTTACCTATACAAATTTATTATAGACTACTAGGAAGTTCTGCAGAATGTAAAACAGTTCTTCATTTTTCAGGAATATCCAGCATACTGCAGGACAGCTGGCATTCTTGGCCTCTGCCCATTAAATATGGGTACTAACAATCAAAAATAATCCCACCGATTTTCAAAATCCTACTTACAGAGCAGAACCAACCCCACTGAGAACCATTATTTTTCTCTTACATTTTTGTTACCCCATTGCACACCTTAATACATATGTTATATTTTGAGCAAATCCTTGAGTTATTTCACTCATTGAATGTTTGATGAGCCCAACTCAGACTTTAGCAGTATTCAGCTGCTTTTAAAAGGTAATAACTAAAAAGAAAGAAATGAGAATAGTTTTTTTCTTGTGTGGTAATGTCTCAGACTTCTTTAAAAAATATAATTTAATATAATGCTTATCTCTCTTTCAATATCTCTTGACATTTTATTTTATTTTTTAAAAATTCTTTTGAGACAAGGTCTTGCTCTGTCAACTGGGCTGGAGTGCAGTGGCACAATCTACCAGCTCACACTACAGCCTCGACCTCCAAGTCTCAGTCAGTCCTCCCACCTCAGCCTCCTGAGTGGCTGGGACCACAGAATGTGCCACAGCCCCCAGTTAGTTTTTTATTTATTGTAGAGATGGGGTTTTGCCATGTTGCCCAGGCTGGTCTCAAACTCCGGGGCTCAAGTGATCCGCTTGCCTCAGCCTCTGAAAGTGCTGGGATTATGGGATTATAGGCAAGAGTCAGTGCTCTTGGCTACGTATTCACACTTTTGTGCCAGCTTCTTAAGTTGCCCTTTATTATAGCTACAAAGCTGAAAACATGGTAATTTGATCTTAGTTAGCATCTTAATAGAAGCTAGGAAAATTATTCATAAAGCCTTCCTCTTTTACTATTATTTTATATGTTTTCTTCTTTTCTCTCTCTCTTAAATATCATGTTGTTTTAATAAACATTAAACTGACATAAAGGCACTGGCCAAACGTTTGGTTACACTAGAGCTAGTATTATCCTAGCTCTAGTTATACTGACTGTCTTCTTTTCAAATAGTATTCATACAAAGCCTTTTTTAAAAACACATATTTTGGCCGGGCACAGCGCACCTGTAATCCCAGCACTTCGGAAGGCCAAGGCAGGTGGATCACAAGGTCAGGAGTTTAAGGCCTGACTGACCAACATGGTGAAACCCCATCTCTACTAAAGTTACAAAAATTAGCTGGGTGTGGTGGTGCTCACCTGTAATCCCAGCTACTTGGGAGGCTGAGACAGGAGAGTTGCTTGAACCTGGGAGGCAGAGGTTGCAGAGAGCCGAGATGGTGCCACTGCACTACAACCTGGGCGACTGAGTGAGACTCCATCTCAGAAAAAAAAAAAAAAAAAAACCCACACGTATTTTAACTGGATGTTCTTGATCCTAGTTTTGCAGGCAACTTTGAGGGAAGAGAAGAAACTTCGAGTTGAAAATGCGAAACTAAAGAAAGAAATTGAAGAACTGAAACAAGAGCTAATTCAAGCAGAAATTCAAAATGGAGGTAATTAAATATAGAAAATTTGAGTAATCCAGAAGTTAGGAAGTTGGCCAGTCACAGTAACAGGGAGGAAAGAAGTAAGAATCTGTATTCAAGCAACTTGGCCAACTTCGTAACTTCTGGATGACTCAAGTTTATCAATAAAATGGGGGCATGAATGGAACCTACTTCTTAGAGTTTGAGAATTACATGGGTTAACTCATATACAGCATTTTGAAAAGTTCATAATAAGTTCATAAAAAGTTCATAATAAGGGCCATAATAAGTTCATAATAAATGTTAGCTATTGTTCTTATCTGCAGATTTCTCAGTTTAGTAATTATTGATTAAATGGGAATCATGCCTTTATTCTTTGATACGTCAGTAATGGCTAAAATATGCTTAATTTTTTTGACAGTCATTTTGTAGTCTCAGACAGTGGATACTTGATAACCATATACAATGAATTTTTCTTTTAAAAAGAGTTCTTATTTATGGTTTACAATTTTATATTTTTTATCGTATTTATTGACTTAATATGAATGACATTATTTTATTTTCTGTCTCAGTGAAGCAAATACCATTTCCATCTGGTACTCCCCTGGAAGCTAATTCTGTGGTTTCTGAAAATGTGATACAGTCTACACCAGTAGCAACCATATCTTCTGGTACCAAAGAACAGATAAGAGGAGGAACAGGAGATGAAAAGAAAGCAAAAGAGAAAATTGAAAAGAAAGGTATTTTTGACCTTTAAGCATACTTAACTCTTGACTGGATTATCAGAAAATGTCAAATTTTGATAGTGATAATAATAATGGTATCAAAAAGAAAGTTCAACTTTCATGAGCTAGGATAAGATTAGGAGCAATACGATATTGGAACATACAAGCTGGGTCCTAAATGGTATGTGAATGTTGACCAGATTAATAGAGTTAAAATGTGGCATTTTAGGCAGAGGGATCAGCATAAGTAAAAACAGACAGTCAAGATGAAGTGTAGAAACCCATATGTAGATTGATATGGCTGCATTTTGGTATCTATTTGTGGTATAGTTTGAGAGAAGTCCTAGATGGGAAGCTAGCTTAGGACCTGCTGTGATGATAGGAAAAGGACATTCCACCAGTCAGAGCAGACTGTCTGAACTAGAGTGTGAGGTATTAAGATTTCAGGAATCCATGAGAACTAAAGTAGAAAGATATGTCGCTATCCACTTAGGCAACAACCCTTGAAATCTAGTTGTCAACCTGCCTGTCCTTATTCTTCATTCTTCATGTCTAATTAACCAACAAATCCTATAATTCCTGTCTCCAAAACATACACAGACCCCAGCTCTGGTCTTTCCTTTAATCAGGTGCTATCTTAATTCAGGTTTTCACGATCTTTCATCTGAATTAATATTAAAGCCTAATCCTTTTTTATTTTTTAACCTTGCTGCTAAAGCTATTTTTTCTAATTGTAAATCTGAATTCCTTTTCCCAGATATGTCTAAAAGGTGCCTTATAAATAATTATGCATGTCTCTCATTACACTTAAACTAATTTACATTTTGGGGGTGAAACTGTAACATGGCAGAGGGATTTATGAACTAACTCAAGTCAAGTCTCCAAAGCACTTGCCAGTTCCTTTGACAAATATAAGTAACCTCTGCTAGTTAGAAGTAGGTAGGGGTTGTACAGCCTCTGCTATACAACTTCACCACTGGGTGGTATGATTATAATGAAAGCAAGTCAAGACTAATTCTTCTAGTGTAAAAAATATGTTAAGAAGTAGACAAAAAACAACTGTATAGCCTGTTCTTGCAAATTTGGTAGAATCCATATTTTATTCTCTAAGGAGGTTGTACTGTTCTAACTCAGGATTAATTCATCTTCTAGTAGGAGAAGGCAGCAAGGCTCTCCTTTGATGGAAGAGGGAGCACACAAGACCAAATGGAATTATAGGAGTAGAACACTTCTGTCCAATGGAACTTTCTATGTATGATAATGGAAACACTCTATATCTGCATTATCCAACCTGGTAGCCAATGGCCGGCCACATGTGGTTGTTGAAGATTTGAAATGTGGGTAGTATGACTAAACTGAATTTCTAATTTAAATTATTTTAAATTTGAATAAACTATGTGGCTGGCAGCTACCATATTGGACAGTGCTGTTCCGGAGGTGTTTGGCTGCTAGCTAGGATTGCCAGATTCTGCTTATACAAGGGCTGTGGTCTCCATACAGTCTTTCTAGACTGCCACGTATCTTTTTTTTTTTTTTTTTTGAGACGGAGTCTCGCTCTTTCACTCATGCTGGAGTATAGTAGTGCAATCTTGGCTCTCTGCAACTTCCGCCTCTCGGGTTCAAGCAATACTGTCTCAGTCTTCTGAGTAGCTGGGACTACAGGTTCACACCACCATCCCCAGCTAAGTTTTGTACTTTAGTAGAGACAGGGTTTCACTATATTGGTCAGGTTGGTCTCGAGCTCTTGATCCCAGGTGATCCACCCACCTCAGCCTCCGAAAGTGCTGGGATTACAGGCGCGAGCCACCACGCCCAGCTAGACTGCCACATATCTTAATTGAGCATCACTCGTTTGTCAGTGAAATATTTCTGAAATTCCTTATGATAATTAACAAAGATCTTGGTATAGATTTTAATATTTGCAGTCATTTCTAGAATGAAGATTCTTGATAAAAGTATTTCAAATGCCTAGGAAGTAGATTAGAATTTTAAAATATATGCAAATATAGATACATCGTAATACAATACTTTTTAAGTAAATATATAGAGTTTATCATACAAAGATAACTATTAAGACTTTGGTATATTCTGGTAATTTCGTTGTATATATTTTTGTGTATCATTTGAATTTTTACCATTTAAAAAATATTTGCTAATTTATGGAAAGTGAAATTTTTTAAAAGCTTGCTAATGACATTTAAAAATTGGCCAATATTTTAAGTTAGTTCCATCCCCTCTTTGATAAGCTTTTTGTTGTATGAATGATGAATACCTTTACATAGAATCTTCCTTTCCTGCTTCATGCAAAATTATTCTTCACTGAGTTTCTATATTTCATGTATGTAATGTTTATCACATATTTATTATACATGTACATGTCTATCTTCCTTAAAAGAGATTTTGAGTGCCTTGACAGCATGGGCTGCCCATCCTACTATTTTGAAACATTGTCACGTAAATCTATGTTGAAAGCCGGGCGCGGTGGCTCAAGCCTGTAATCCCAGCACTTTGGGAGGCCGAGGCGGATGGATCACGAGGTCAAGAGATCGAGACCATCCCGGTCAACATGGTGAAACCCCGTCTCTACTAAAAAATACAAAAAAATTAGCTGGGCATGGTGGCGCGTGCCTGTAATCCCAGCTACTCAGGAGGCTGAGACAGGAGAATTGCCTGAACCCAGGAGGCGGAGGTTGCGGTGAGCCGAGATCGCGCCATTGCACTCCAGCCTGGGTAACAAGAGCGAAACTCCGTCTCAAAAAAAAAAAAAAAAAAAAAAAAAAAAGAAAGATTAAATAAATGTATAGTTGAGAAAGAATGCTTCCAAGCTACAACAGTTTATCTCTATTCTGTGGATTCAAAGGTCAATGAGGTTTTATTTTGCCTTTACTTTTTTTTGGACAGAAAAGCGAATTGTAATCTTAAAGAATATGAATTCTCTTTGCAGGTTGTATTTAACTCAGTAGCTAAAGTAATTATATGTCAATAGAGTTACATTTTCAGCAAATAAATAAAAATATAATTATTAAAACGTAATCAGAATAAAATATTCTTATCTGCTTAAATCGTTACTGTGGATAACCCTAAAATCCTGTTACATCTTCAGGGAAATCTAAGAAATGGAGAAATTAATTGTATACTTATTAATATGTATAAGTGATGAGGAAAATATTTGATCAGTGAAATTGTATTTCACTCTAGTTCATTCTATCATTTGGGTACTGTGGTGTTCTTTCTAAATAAAGTATTTGTCACCTTGCAAAGAGTCACAGTAAAAGGTTTTAGAGGATTGTCTATTGTCCTGTTTCAGGGAAAGGCAAATTCTTTCTGCCGTAAAGTCTTTGTCACAACTGCTCAACTCTGCCCTGGTGGAAAAGTATCCATGGATGATATGTAAATGAATGAATACGGTTCTCTTCCAGGAAAACTTTATTTACAAAAACAGGCAACAGGCTGGATTTGGCCCATGAGCCATAGTTTGCCAACCTCACACCACCTTTCAAATAGAAATACAACAGAGAAATAGCTAAAATAAGTTTCAAGATTTTATGAGTTGAATATTTTTTTTCTTTGTTATTATTTCAGTGAATATAGAAGATAATTTTTTTTTTTCCTTTTAAGTTCATCAGTATTGATACCATGGAGTTTTCATCGTGTTTTATTTGTTTGGTTTTATTTCTGATGCTTACCCATTTATAAATACTTTTTAATAGAGAAGAAGGAGAAAAAACAGCAATCAGTAGCTGGAAGTGCCGACTCTAATCCAATAGATGTTTCCCGTCTGGATCTTCGAATTGGTTGCATCATAACTGCCAAAAAACACCCTGATGCAGATTCTTTGTATGTAGAAGAAGTAGATGTTGGAGAAGTAGCCCCAAGAACAGTTGTCAGTGGCCTGGTGAATCATGTTCCTCTTGAACAGGTAATCTGTACAACTGAAATTACTGTTGTGTACATACATCATTTTCATTCCCTCTTTCTTGATATCTTTCCATTACAATTTTGTATGCCATACAACATGTGCCATTGTTGATTAGTTCAGTTGATTAGTTTGAATGTGGTTAATTCAACAAGAAAAGCATAAAACCAATAAAAACCTGTAAAATATCTGTAAATTAAGATAGAATGCATGAGGATAAGAAGAAAATATTTATTATTTTCTCTATTTTTAAAATCTTTTTACTTTTGTATTTTGCATAAAAATATATGTGTGGAGATATATATATATATTTTTATATATATGTAAAATCTAAGTAACAACAAAATACAAAACATCCCATTTTTAACAAATAAAGGAATACCATTAAAAATTGCAAGTTTAATCTCCATGATCCCCTCTCCTCATTTTTCCGCAAGTATGAAAGTACTTTTTTGGGTTTTAGAGAAGTAAAATTTGTTCTCATAGATTGGTGCTTTCTGGGTTTATATTACATGATTTTAAAAAGCAAGGAATGATACAATTCTATGATGGAACAGTGATGAAAATAATGATTATGTTGACTATTGTATTAGAAGTACTTAATACATGAATTTTTTTTCACATGCTATTTTATTTCTTACTATATATAACTCTCAGTTAAGAAGTATCATCCTCATTTACAGATGATGTTTTGGGAAGTAAACCAACTTGTGCTTTCTCTATATATGTATATATACTCATACATCTCACTCTAAGGCTGATTATCTTTAATCACTATATTGTTCAGCTTTCCTGTGTACCATTCAAGGTTAGTTAGTAATGAAGCTTCTAACTACAGGTACTATGTAGCTTTTAGAGCCATACACATGACCAGGGTCATAAATTACAAACTGTTAGGCCAAGGAAAGAATGCAATCCCCAAAAGTTTTAATTTATCTTTCATAGTATTTTATAAAATACTTCCACATGGAATTTTACATGAAAATCCTGATGTCGTTTTTCTTAAAAATTCAGGACTAAGCTCTACCTCCACCTTTCCCAACACCCTGCTGTTTCTTCGAGGCAGAAATTGGCTAAAACTTAGTAATGGATAGCCCCTTTAGGTGGAAGTTACACTCTGCCACAGTTTCAACCATTCCATCATTGAGGTGGAGGGTCAGTTGTGATTATTTAGTATTTATCTTTATTTTTCTGTTACTGTTATACTTAAGGAAGGTTAAAGGGAGACTCAACTGTCTTTTTTTACCATGTCTCAAAAAAAATGAGACTATTACTTGTTTTTTCTGTCTAGGGTACCTTACTCATTTCCTTTACTTACTTCGTAGACAGCATCAAAATTGATCCCTGGCCTGGGATTTTGTTTTGGCTCTCTAATTTCAACATTGCTGGAACACAGTACGGGTAATGGATTAATATTGACCTATCATCAAGAGTATAAGGAAGTGATTTCTTCTACTTCCTACTTAACAAGCTCATTTATTTTAAGTCTCCAGTGATTAATTATCTGAGCCAGTGAAGTTTGGATTTTAAGTGTATCATAAAAGAAATTGATAGGAGAAGCTTAGAGTATCTCCACTTTTCCTTTCTTCTGGTGAGTTTAGCACCAAGGAATGTGCTTTTGTGTCGCTTCAGAAAACAAACCATGGTTATAGTTTATATAATACTATTCCCTATTTAAGATTTAATTGTTTCTATAGTAGAATTAGAGCTGGGTATCTGGAATATGTGAAAAGTAGTTATGATATATTTTATGAAGGGTAACATTGCATGATAACTAATTAAAAGCAAGTTGATACTCCATAATGATACCCTTCAGAGTGGTGTTTTCTAACTGTTGCTTTTTTTTTTCTTATAAGCTTTTAAACCTACCTCTCAACAAAAGTTTATTTTCTTCCTTTTTCTTTACTTGTGAATAACATCTACTTTCTGTAAGAATTAAATGGTTTTTTAAAAATGTATTTAATAACAGTGGAAAGAATCAAAGACAGTGATAGTTTTAAATGTCCTTTTTCTAGATGCTTTCTATAGTGATTTGAATCATCTGCCATTTCCTCTGACCCATGGTGCTTCAGAGATATTGCAAAGAATATGGACTTCAACATTAAGATAGTTCTGCGTTTGTTTATTGCCACTCTGCTGCTTCTTGGTTTTGTGAACTTGAACAAATCCCTATGTCTGTTCAATCATATTTATAGCTGCGAGTATTTGTTAGGCATCTAAATAAAGGATGCAGCAACAAATTAAAATACAGAGATAGACAACCTTTTTTGTTTGTTTGTTTGTTTGGTGATACAGTCTCACTCTGTCACCCAGGCTGGAGTGCAATGAGGCAATCTCGGCTCAATGCAACCTCTGCCTCCTGAGTAGTTGGGATTACAGGCACCACCACCATACCTGGCTAATTTTTTGTATTGTTAGTAGAGATGAGGTTTCACCGTGTTGGCTAGGCTGGTCTCGAACTGCTGACCTCAGGTGATTCCGCCTGCCTTGGCCTCTCAAAATGCTGGAATTACAGGTGTGAGCCACCACACCCGGGCAACAAACAGATTTTTAAAAATAGCCCTGCCTTTATGAAGCTCACATTCCTATAAGGGAGTCAGAAATATTATCAAGACATTGTAAATATATAGTATGTTAAATAATAAGCGCCCAGAGAAAAATCAATTAGGCAAAGAATCTAGTAAGTATTGAGGCCAGTATCATGTTGACATTTTATATAAAGTCCCCAGGGAAGACCTCATAAAGAAAATTACATTGAGTAAAATTCTAAGAAAATGAAAGCCAGTCATATGTCTATCTGGCTGAAGAGCATTTTGGGCAGCCCTGGGAGAGATGGATGCCTGGGGTGTTCAAGGAATAGCAGGAGGCCAATATGAAAAGAGCAGAGTAAATAAATGAGGAAGTCATGGGAAATGAAATCAGAGATAAGGGTGCCAAATGACTTATAGATCCTTGTAAAGACTTTGGCATTTTTCCTGAATAACATTAAAGCCATTGTAGGATTTTAGAGCAAAAGAATAACATTGGTCAGCCTAACATTTTAATAGGATGATTCTGGCTGCTCTGTTGATGGGAGGGAGATGGAATTAAGGAGATCAGTGAAGTTTCTCTTATCTAGGAAAAAAGAGATAGACTTGTCATATGCATGTGCTTTTTTTCCTTTTTAATATTTATTATTTATATAGGACCAAGGCTGATTCATAACTCCTTATGAAGTTAGGAGCACTGGAGAAAAGAACCAAGTGATCTTAAGCCAACTTAAATTGGAAAAACTCCTCGTTAGGGGTTCATCTTTTCTGTTCTTATAAGTTGTGGACTATTTTTTCTCTTTCAGCAGCCATTATTCACAACTATAAGCAAAGCTATTTTTATAAACATCTGTTTCTAATCCATCAAGATAGAACCTAAAATAAAAGTTTTTTTTAAAAAAAAGGTAGTACTAGTAAACATTCTATAAAGCAGGGTCACTTAGTTCTCAAAATTACATATTGTATATTTTAGGTTGTACATTTTTCTAGGGAAAAGGTTTACAGCTATCATCAGATCCTTAAAGGATTGCATCTAACTAATCTTGTTGCTACTCAAACATTTTTGCTATAACTTTTAAGTTCTCATATATGTGACATTGTCACTTTATTTGAAGCATTGGAAGATAAATATTAATTCTGAAGACCCCCTAATTCATTTTGAATTTGACTCTTAGGCTCATTTTTTTTAAATCATAGAATTTCAGAGTAAATTTCCATATAACATTTATTTATAAAAACCATCTTTTATCTAGAATGCATCTTTTTTTCTCCTTCAAGCAATAGTCCTCTTGTATGATTCATTTTAAACCTGTTGGAAAAATTTAAATAACTGTATTTCTTATTTTTGCTAGTTGGAGAAAAAAGACACTTCAGATTAGAAGATTAAAGATCTTCTATTTGCTTCTGTAAAAAAATTATAGAAATAGCCCTACCTGTTAGTTGTATGATGCATAATGCTGGAATTGTTAAATGATTTTTTTTTTTTTTTTTTTTTTTTTTGAGACAAGGTCTTTCTCTGTTGCCCAGACTGGAGTTCAGTGTCATAATCAAGGCTTATTGCAGACTCCAGGCTCAAGTGATCCTTCTACCTCAGCCTCCCAACCAGCTGGGACTATAGGTGAATACACCATGCCCAGCGAATTTTTGTATTTTTTGTAGACTGGGTTTTACCATGTTGCCCAGGCTGGTCCCAAGCTACTGGGCTCAAGCAGTCTGCCTGCCTGAGTTTCCAAAGGAGCTGGGATTATAGGTGTGAGTCGCCACACCCAGCCAATTTTTTTTTTTTTTAATTAAAAAATAAATCTAGCATAGCTCTGTAAATAAACAAATGTATAGGGAAAAAAAATGCACACGTGAATGTGTGCATTTATTTTAATTCTAATGCTAGGCTAAATGCTTTATATGCATATTATGATTTAATCCTTATGACAACTTTTCAGTATGATTTCTCTCATTTTTTGAGCAAACAGTAATGTCAAATTTATGCAGTCTCATTGCTAGTGAATGGCAGCTGAAATTCACAACCAAATCTGTTTTATTCAGTACATTTTTAACTGAAGTTCCTCTGCTCTTTTAACCATAATGCATTATCGATTTGGGGGAACTTTTTTTTCATGTTTAGGTAAAGCTTCATAACAACAATAAGAGACTTTGGGCACACAGAGACAAAGGTACATCCACAAAAGTAGAACATTTGATACTTAGCATATTCAGTGTAGCTTAATATAGTCTGGATATGATTGGGCTTAATCTGTGTACATCTTTACTAACCAGTTTATATTTTATACAGATGCAAAATCGGATGGTGGTTTTACTTTGTAATCTGAAACCTGCAAAGATGAGGGGAGTATTGTCTCAAGCAATGGTCATGTGTGCTAGTTCACCAGAGAAAGTTGAAATCTTGGCACCTCCAAATGGGTCTGTTCCTGGAGACAGAATTACTTTTGCAGCTTTCCCAGGTAGGTATTTATATTTATTAGTAATTATTTAATAGTTTTGCAATCAGTTCTCAAAGTGATATTTGTAATGTTTAAAGATTAGAATCAGTGTAAGAATCAAAGTCTTACATATTATTGAGTTTTTCAAGATTGGCGCAGGATGACACATTGAGTAAACCTTATAACCATTCTCCTCCCCATGAATGTACATGTTGTTTAAAACACCTGATATGGTTTGACTATGTCCCCACTGAAATCTCATCTTGAATTGTAGCTCCCATAATCGCCACATATCATGGGAGGGACCTGGTGAGAGGTTACTGAATCTGGGGCAGGTTTTACCTGTGCTGTTCTCATGATAGTGAATAAATCTCATGAAATCTGATGGTTTTATAAAAGGACAGTTACACTACACACACTCTCTTGGCTGCTGGTATAAAAGACATGCCTTTGCTCCTCTTTCGCCTTTTGCCTTGATTGTGAGGCCTCTCCAGTCATGTGGAACTGCGAGTCCATTAAACCTCTTTTCTTTATAAATGACCCAGTCTTGGATATATCTTTATTAGCAGCATGAGAATGGACTAATACAGTAAATTGGTACCAGGGTGCTGCTATAAAGATACCTGAAAGTATGAAAGCGACTTTGAAACTGGATAACAGGCAGAGGTTGGAACAGTTTGGAGGACTCAGAAGAAGATAAGAAAATGTGGGATAGTTTGGGACTTCCTGGATACTTGGAGGACTTGGAAGACAAGAAAATGTGGGAAAGTTTGGAACCTTCTAGAGACTTGTTGAATGGCTTTGACCAAAATGTTGATAGTGATATGCACAATAAAGTCCAGGCTGAGGTAGTCTCAGAGATGAGGAACTAGTTGGAACTGAAGCAAAGGTGATCCTTGCTATGCTTTATTAAAGAGACTGGTGGCATTTTGCCCCTTCCCTAGAGATCTGTGGAACTTTGAACTTGAGAGAGATGATTTGGGGTATCTGGCAGAAGAAACTGCTAAGCAGCAAAGCATTTAAGAGATGACTTAGGTGCTCTTAAAAAGCATTCAGTTTTATTCATTCACAAAGACATGGTTTGGAATTGGAACATATGTTTAAAAGGGAAGCAGAACATAAAAATTTGAAAAGTTTGCGGACGATGCAGTAGAAAAGAAAAATCCATTTCTGTCAGCTACAGAAATTTATATAAGCAAGGAGCCAAATATTATTTGCCAAGACAATGGGAAAATGTCTCTAGGGAATGTCAGAGTCCTTTATAGCAGCCCCTCCCAGCAAAGGACCTGAGGCCTAGGAGGAAAAAATGGTTTCCTGGGCTCGGCCCAGGGCCCCCATGCTGTGTGCAGCTTAAGGACTTGGTGCCCTGCTTCTCAACTGCTCCAGCTATGGCTAAAAAGGGCTGAAATACAGCTCAGTCCCTTGCTTCAGAAGGTGTAAGCCCTAAGCCTTGGCAGCTTCCACATGGTGTTGAGCCTGCAGATGCACGTAAATCAAGAATTGAGGTTTGGGAACCTCCAACTAGATTTCAGATGTATGGAAACCCCTGTATGTCCAGGCAGAAATTTACAGGAGCAGGGCTGTCATGGAGAACCTCTGCTAGGGCAGTGCAGAAGAGAAATGTGGGATGGGACCCTCCACACAGAATCCCCACTGGGGCACCGCCTAGGAGAGCTGTGAGAAGAGGGCCACTGCCCTCCAGATCCTAGAATCATAGATCCACCAACAGCTTCCACTGTGTGCCTGCAAAAGCTTCAGAAACTCCAGTCTGTGAAAGCAGCTGGGATGATGGCTATACCTTACGAAGTCAGAGGGGCGGAGCTGTCCAAGGCCTTGGGAGCCCACCTCTTGCATCAGTGTGACCTGCATGTGAGACTTGGAGTCAAAGGAGATCATTTTGGAACTTTGAGGTTTAGTGACTACCCTACTTGATTTCAAACTTGCATGGAGTCTGTAGCCTCTTAGTTTTGGCCAGTTTCTCCCATTTGGAATGATGTATTTACCCGATGCCTGTACCTCCATTGTATCTGGGAAGTAACTAACTTGCTTTTGATTTTATAGCTTCATAGGCAGAAGGGACTTGCCTTGTCTCAGATGAGATGTTGGACTGTGGACTTTTAGTTGATGCTAAAATGAGTTGAGATTTTGGGGGACTATTGGGAAGGCATGATTGGTTTTGAAATGTGAGGACATGAGATTTAGGAAGGGCCTGGGGTGGAATGATATGGTTTGGTTGTGTCCCCAGCCAAATCTTACCTTGAATTATAGCTCCCACAATTCTCATGTGTCATGGGAGGTACCTGGTAGAAGGTAATTAAATCCTGGGGAAAGGATTTTCTTGTGCTGTTCTCATGAAGTGAATAAGTCTCATGAGATCTGATGGTTTTATAAAAGGGCAGTTCCACTACACACACACTCTTCCCTGCTGCCGTGTAAGGTGTTCCTTTGCTCCTCTTTAACCTTCTGCCATGATTGTGAGACCTCCCCATTCATGTAGAACTGTATGCCAGTTAAACCGCTTTGCTTTAGAAATTACCCAACCTTGGGAATATCTTTATTAGCAGCGTGAGAACAGACTAATACAACACCACAGAGAACAATAATGTCCTAACTAAAGCAATAATATTAATACCAGCATAGCAGAAAAGTATGACATGGATAGAGACCAGATTAATGAGATGCAAAATCACTTATGCTGTAGATTGTCTCATGCTGCAGCACAGAAAGAGATGAAAAGTTTAGATTTATAATTATAAGTGCCATCTAATAATATACTTGCACATGTTTTTACTCAACTTCAGTATATAAAGAAAATATCGGCCGGGCATGGTGACTCACGCCTATAACCCCAGCACTTTGGGAGGCTGAGTGGATCATGAGGTCAAGAGATCAAGACCATCCTGGTCAACATGGTGAAACCCCATCTCTAATAAAAATACAAAAATTAGCTGGGCACGGTGGCACACGCCTGTAGTCCCAGCTACTCGGGAGGCTGAGGCAGGAGAATTGCTTGAACCTGGGAGGCACAGGTTGTGGTGAGCTGAGATTGAGCCATTGCACTCCAGCCTGGGTAACAAGAGCGAAACTCTATCTCAAAATTTAAAAAAAAAAAAGAAAAGAAAAGAAAATATCTAAGTTAAAATTGGAAAAGCAGAAATAAATGAGGATAACAAATAGAATTAGTTCAAAAGTTAAATGACTGGGGATTTTTTTTGTGTGTGAGTGAAATATTTTTTAATGGTACAACAAAATTAAACTAAGTTGTTTTTTTTTTTTCAACTTTTATTTTAGGCTCAAAGGATACATTTGCAGGTTTCTTATATTGACAAATTGTATTTCCTTCAGATTTAGTGTAGGAATGATGCCATCACCCGTGTAGTGAGCACAGTACCTAATAGGTAGTTTTTCAACCCTTACCCTACCCTTACCCAACTCCTAGCCTCCCTTCTAGTAGTGCTCAGTGTCTTTTGTTTCCATCTTCCTGTCCATGTATGCTCAGTATTTAGGTTTAGCTCTCACTATTAAGTGAGAACATACTGTATTTGATTTTCTGTTCTTGTATTGAGTTACTTAGGATAATGGTTTCCAGCTGCATCCATGTTGCTGCAAAGGATGTAATTTTCTTCTTTTTTAAGGCTGCATAGTATTCCATAATATATATGTACCGCATTTTTTTTATCCAGTCCACTGTTGATGGATACCTGAGTTGATTCCATGTCTTTGCTATTGTGAATAGTGCTGCAGTGAACATATAGTGTATTTGTCTTTTTTGTAGAAAGATCTATTTTTCTTTGAGTACATACCCAGTAATGGGATTGCAGGGTCAAATGGTAGTTCTGTTTTAAGTTCTTTGAGAAATTCCAAACTGCTTTCTACAGTGGCTGAACTAATTTACATTCCTTCTTGTCCTCCACCTTGCCAACATCTGTTATTTTTTTGTCTTCTTAATAATAGCCATTCTGACGGGTATGAGATGTTTCTCATTGTGGTTTTGATTTGCATTTCTGTGGTGATTAGTGATGTTGAGCATTTTTGATATTTGTTGACAGCATATATGTCTTCTGTTGAGAAGTATCTGTTCATGTTCTTTGCTAATGTTTTAATGGGGTTATTTGTTTTTTGCTTGTTGAATTAAGTTCCTTATGGATTCTGGATATGAGAACTTTGTTGGATGCATAGTTTTCTAATATTTTTTCCCATTCCTTAGGTTGTCTGTTTATTCTACTGTTAGTTTCTTTTGTTGTACAGAAGCTCTTTAATCAGCTCCCACTTGTCAACTTTTGTTTTCATTGCAATTGCTTTTAGAGACTGAGTCATAAATTCTTTGCCAAGGTTGATATTGAGAAGGGTATTTCATATAATTTTTGTCAAGAGTGATATTGAGAGGGTATTTCCTAGATTTTCTTCTAGGATTTTTACAGTTTTAAGTCTTACGTTTAATTCTTTTTTATTATTATTATACTTTAAGTTCTGGGGCACATGTGCAGATTGTACAGGATTGTTACATAGGTATACACATGCCATGGTGGTTTGCTGCATCCATCCTCTTATCACCTATGTTACTATTTCTCCTAATGTTACCCCTCCCCAATTCCCCCAACCCGTTATCCCTCCCTTGGTCTCCTTACCCCCCAACAGGCCCCAGTGTGTGATGTCCCCCTCCCTGTGTCCATGTGTTCTCATTGCTCAACACCCACTTATGAGTGAGAACATGCGATGTTTGGTTTTTGTTCTTGTGTCACTTCATTGAGAATGGTGGTTTCCAGATTCATTGATGTCCCTGCAAAGACCAGGAACTCATCCATTTTATGATTGCATAGTATTCCGTGGTGTATAGGTGCCACATTTTCTTTATCCAGTCTATATTTGATGGGCATTTGGGTTGATTCCAAGTCTTTGCTATTGTAAACAGTACCACATTGAGCATATGTGTGCATGTGTCTTTATAATTGATTTATAATCCTTTAGGTATATACGCAGTAATGGGATTGCTGGGTCAAATGGTATTTCTAGTTCCAGAT